AAAAAAAAAAAAAAAAAAAAAGAAAAAAGAAAAAAATTGAAATCAAAATCGATTCACAAATTTAACTTTGACTGGTGTGAAATTGTACAGGGGACCGATAAATAATGTTCCTTCGTAAAGTTAACGCGAAATATAGGATCTCTAACCGAGAGAGGTAGGCGGGGACCACAAGGCAAAAAGGGAAAATATTATAAAGTTGTGGAGGCGTTAACGCGGCTAACGGATTTCGCTGCACGTATAGCACGTAAGTCTATAGCTGTAATATATACGCTGGGATGAGATGCGCGTCGCTGCTTTGCGTTATATTTACCGTCGGCCGATGTTACTGTAATACGTCGTCTATATATAGTTAGACGACATTGGAGTAAAGCGAGCAGCTATCGGTGAGGACTTACTGAAAGTTTACTTTGTCGACTTGAAACCGTGTTTCGAAGATACCGGACGTGAGGACTCGACACCTGAGGATGTCCTGGAACAGATCGATAAAATTTATCATTCACACTTCATAACGCTTTCACGTGAGAAGCTCGTGCCGATCATTACCTGTTCTGTGGGGGTGTAATCCGGTTGTTTAACAATGGCTACCTTATCTAGAAAACTGGAACAGAGAACAAAAGATACGATTACACATTTCGTGTATCGAGACTTCGTGGAAATTGTAAATTTTTTACGAAGTGTTCGATTCGATAATATAATGAGCTACGCCATAATCCAATGTATATATGTGATTATTTCTGATCAACGTTGACCATCCCCGATAACGATCGTCACCAATCAACCGCATTGTTATCGTGTGAGTCACTTCACACATTTACGGATATCATCTCCATTTCACTGTGTTCGTGATTGTACACTTTTTTTTTTAAAACGCTGAGCAAGGGAAGATGGATTCGAGGTATATCCGTATATTCGAAATACCGATCATAGAAAAATAAAATTAATCGCTTGAAAACGTTTCCAAACTTTTAATCAAGTGCAGATAATTTTTTATTTATTCGATTCGGATGGAAGCCGCGAAACTTCGAGTCGAAACGGTATTATCGAAAATGATACACATGATAATAACGATACGATAAATAAGAGAAATTGGAAAAAGAGTGGGAAGAGAATGAGAAAATATCGAAAAGAGATTCTCATATTTCCCATCCTTTTTCTCTTCCTAATACTTTCTCGTTATTTTTTCCTCTTCCTCTATCCTCGTATCCACGTTCTCCTCCCTCCCCCTCTCTCTTCCTCTCTCTTTTATATTCTCTCTGTTTCTCTCAAAAGACCCTCCCCGGCTGGTGTCTAGGGTGGATGAGAGCGCACGAAGGGGGAAAATCGATCCTCGGTGGTGTCCTATCCTAACCCCAACTCTCGCCCTCTCGGCCTCGCCGGGTATGCCTCTCTAGCACCCAGTTTCCAATCCGGGTCATGGGTCACTGCCACCGCTGCTCGCCATCAATCGTGCAGACTTAGCTTCATGTATGTATACCGGCGCCCTGGTACAGGTATATATATGTATGTGTGTATATATATATATGTATATATATACATATATATATATATATACGCGAGAGCCTACAAGGGTGGATCTTCGCTTTGACACCATCATGCAACCTTCCACAGTCGGTTGACGGTGATAATATATTTACTGACAGACACCACCACTGCTCCCCGACACGGATATTAAATAGCCGTACAGAGACAACAGAGTTTCAGTTTTTCATTCGGTATATTACGGAACTTTGAACGGAAGGAATATATTATTACGACGTTACAAATTGGAGAAATTTCAAAATTATTTACCTACTATCTCTGGAATGTTATCCACTGTTCGTTATAGAAGATGATATACACGAGTTAAAAACTACGAAAGAAGTGGAACGAGATATACAGATAGAGGAGGAGAAATGTTGTAACGGCAATTAATACAGCGTTCAATGACCTCGAGAGGCGTAAGTAACCAGAAACTTGGCTCCTCGAATTTGAGGAAGCAGAAATCGGCGAAATTGATTTTCGGCAAGTGGAGAGGCGTAGGAGAGGCAACGGGAGCCTCTGGGATAGGAGAGAGGCTACGTGGAAGCTCGTGTAGGCTCGTGAGAAAGGTAGGTCACGAAATTGGCGCGCTCGCACTGAAATGAGGTTATCGACCTCGGGAGAATTGAAAGAGGAAGGAGGTCGTGACCCACTGGCTACAGCAGAACGATTTTCTGGTTACCAAAGCGGTGTAACTTCACCGACCTTGAGGTCAACTCTAACAATGTTATTTCCAACGATAAGACACGATATGGCGCCTACTATTTTCGCCATTCCATTGTCAAAGTCTCTAAAATCATCGATTCAACTGTCAAGATTATTTTATCGGAAAATTGCGGAGAAATGATAATGAAAGGATGCAATAAAATTAAATATTCATATATTCAATTATCTCTGGCTGTTGTAATTTTCTGTACGAATTTTTTAATGTAAACGATATGTAAAATAAGGTAAATAAAGTATGTTAGTTTCATTAAGATAAATTACAGCGAATTTTAAACGAGGTTAAAGTAACCACAAAACAATGCTATGCTAAGTAAATAACGAAACAGACCAAATCGAATCCTGTTGAACATCCTGTAAGTATATTCTTTATTCGATTTCGAAGCTTTCTAACATTCTGTGTTTCGTTACGAACGATCGTTGCCTCGAATCGTAAATATTTAAGAAACCTGGCGATTTCAATTACCTCACGATCACGAGTATCTCAATTTACATCACGTTTTTATTGTCTCTTGCCTTGATGTAAATGTGCAAAGATTCGATATATAGCTCGATTCACGAAAACTAATCTTATATAAAAAAAAAAAAATATGGTAGTGATTTGTAAAAGAAAAAAAAAAAAAAAGGGTAGTGATTTGTAAAAGAAAAAAAAAAAAAAAAACATCAAAGATCTTTCGAAATGATCTCATCGATCTTTTTACCATCTATATTTGAGGCACAGGAATCGAAAGTTATTCACGAGAATATAAAATATATTAGTTTTTATCTAACGTGACGATGCCACGGAAGAAGATTGTTATCGACCTAAACATTCATGAACTATGTGTGGCAACATCAGTGATCCCAGCATATAGACCAGCGTCTATATATAGAGACACGTGTTTCCTTTTTTAAGGTGTGCCGAGGTATTCCATCGTGTAATTGGCACGTTACTCGATTCTCCCCGTGTATAGCGTTTTCTTTTTTTCTCTCTCTCTCTCTCTCTCTCTCCTTTTTTCCTCTCTCGTATATTTTTTTTTTTCTTTCTTTCTTCCTATCTTTTCCCTCGATTTTTCTTTTTATCTTCAATACGAAAGAAAAATTTGATATGGAAAGTAGCTTCGAATTAAATTTTCAAAGCGAAACGAAAAAATTAGAGAAAAGATATAACACAGACAACATTCTTTGTCTATGAATTTTATTAAAAATCTGATTAATTATTCCAATCAGAAATGACTGATCAAACCAACAATCGATAATCAATCAATCGTTGTTGCATAGTAATATCTCTTATTCCCTGAGAACAAATATCTATTCACATCGTGCATCGATATAAATTCGACGATATTTTTCCGTATTTCTCGTTTTTTTTTTTTTTTTAAATATATCCGAGTATATTCCAAGTTGTTTAATTTTGATTCTCTTTGTTAAAAAAAAAAAAAAAAAAAAAAAAAGGAAAAAAAAAAAATTTGTGTGTAAAAAAACCGTTTTTTTTTTTTTTTTTAAAAAAACCGGGGATTTTTCAAAGTGTTTTATTTTTTTTTTTTTTTTTAAAAAAACCGGGGATTTTTCAAAGTGTTTTATTTTTTTTTTTTTTTTTAAATAAATCGGGGAAAATTCCAAGTTGTTTAATTTTGTTTTTTTTTGTAAAAAAAAAAAAAAAAAAGAAAAAAGAAAAAAAAAAAAAAAAAAAAAAAAAGGAAGAAAGAGAAAAAAAACGAATCCGTTACTTTCACGATCAATTATTTATCTTCTCGTATGTATGTACGTAATCCTTGATCGCGTATCAAGAATGAGAGGCGTGTTTAGCAAACAAGCGTCCAAAATTACAACAATCTAGCGTCTCCGTGGTCCACGCGAATATCTTATATCTCGAGCAGTGTTTTCTAAAAATACGATGCACTATTTTTATCGACGGATTTCTATCTCTTTCTCTCCTTCCACAAGAGGAGGAGAGAGACAGAGGGTATCGAAGAAAGAAGAGGGAGCGAGAGGAAAGAAAAAGAAGAGAAACAAGAGAGGGGTTAAAAAATTCACACGAACGAACGTCTGCACGAACGAAGAGGTGCAGTAACCGGGTTGTAACCGGGTTCTAACTATATTTTTAAACCGAAACGAAAACTATCACCGTGATCTTGATCGCGATCCCGCCGCTAAACGTTATTTGCCAAGTCGCTAAACGTCGATCGTGAATATATATGGTATCTCGTTTCGCCTCTCCCCAGGGGCATCACACCAACGATGAACGTTTTAATCTCTCTCCTGCCATTGACAGTGTAACGATACAGGCCACGATACCATCCATGGTAATTGGTGTATGCGGGCACGAAGAAACGACCGCGCAAGGTTGCGTGGCCAAATATAAAGCGAGTTTTGTCTCTAATTAAAGTGTTCGACGAATTGATAGACGATCACATCGGTCACATGGGATTTGTTAGCCTAGCGGATAAGTTTTCGCGTTTACACACGAGATTAACCACGATCCAGTGCAACAACCTATGTGCCTCACCCACCTATGTAATTTTCAAAGGGAGCTACAGTTTAAAGTGAGCTGATGGACCGGAGCGAACCAGTTTTTCGCTCATTTATATAAATTTATCGGTTCGGTGGGTGTCCTCTCTTCGAGCTCGATGTTCGAAAAGACGAGTTGAAAATACATACGCGAGATCTTTGGGAATTTCCCATCCGATCCGATTTACCAGCTTGTTATTAACCACCCGAGTGATAAAAATTATCAAACGCATCTCTCACAAAACTGTTACCCTCTTTCGAGGGAACTTTATTTTATTACGAGAGATCCTAAACGTTGACCTGATCAACGTTAGAAAATCGTAACGATTTTTTGATAAATCAAAATTCAGATATAGAAGAAAAAGGAATATTTTGTACGGTGTTAAATATATCGTCTAGAGGGAGAGAAAGAGGGAAAGAAGAAAGAGTAAGAGAAGTAAGTATACACGGTGTATTCGAGCAATTTCGTATACCTGAAAAGCTCGCGTGTCAGTGAACAGCGTGAAAAAAGTTCGAGGTTGGGCCAATTCATCAAGAACCCCTAGATAAACGAGTGGCCCCTATTAAAGCGATTACCTCGTTAAGGCATTGTCTCCATTGGCATTAAATCGGTGTCACATAGGCCCATGAATATATACACGGATATAGCATATATGTATCGCGGTCATGAGAACGCTTCCAAAATTTATCCAACCGCGTTGCAGATTATTTACAAGTCAGATACGATAACAAATACGTGTCCAATACGCGCACAAACATGCACGTACAGATACATACATACATAGGCGATCCGTTACACTTTTTTTTCCTTTTTTTTTTTTTTCACGGAACACAACGAGTTCTCGTTCCAGGTTATTATACTCTATGGCACGCGCGGAATAGTTGAAAGGATCGCGGGTAAATCGGGCGCGGCTTCGCGGTTCCATTATCGTCGATACAAACGTTATCGTACGCGCTTCTTATCGCGATATCAACCATGGGGGCGAATTAAAATAACCATGTGTCGCGGCTCCAACCATTTATAAACGCTACGAATCCAGACTGATAATTTTTACCCCCTTGTTTTTATCAATGATACACCATCGATCGATCCGGTTCCCAGTACTGTTACGGCGCACTATGTGCGCAATTCCTGCGCATTCGATTCATTCTAATGTTAATGTTCGTGAAAGCAAGAGATGACTCACTATTTAGCGCAGTCAATTAGTTGGTACTCGTTACTCCTTTCGAAACTCTGTTGAACACCTCGGTCCTTCCAAAGGGCTTCGACGATATCGTAGAACTCCTGGAATTACACGAATTACAATTAATTAGTGAATCATAATTACAAGAACAATGGTGGAAAAATGGAGAAGATGAGAAGAAGGAATAACGGTTCGAAAATAAATGATCGTTGCGCGCGATCGCATCCGTGGGTTAGATTTGCAAATAAGTTCACGGTTTGGCGGCCGTTTCTATCGCGTCTCATTAATTATCTATGAAAACGTGCGACTCTGACGAAACGGAAAATTTGGCTCGAACGGCAACGGCCACTATCATCGTGACAACTGAATATTCGGTTGAAACGCGTTTGGTCCACGAGAAAAACCGTTTCAACTTATTACGAGGAATGGAACAGGAATATGCGTCCCATTATTATCGACGAAAATATTTCTCATTTTTAATTTTGTCGCTGGTGATCGCCGCACTGCCTTTGCACGCGCGTATTATCCGTCCCTATATAAAAATGGATATCGACCAGGTATCAGAGCCAAGATAAATATTCGAATAACATCTATTGCCGAAGCGTTGTCGGGACGGGAAAGAGAAAAAAAAAAAAAGGCGGCAATCGTGATAACTCTCGAACCGAGGTGTAATTTAATTTCGAGATATCAACGAGTATTAATTTAACGAGCATAACCAGGAAAAATTGATCGTGTGCTTATTGTTTGCATCAAATCGTAAGTCTTTTAAGAATTGCTAAATTTTTGTGTTTTTTTTTCGAGAGAGAGAGAGACAGTTCACGATCATTGAACCAATCTCGATTTCCCCGATTTCTTCTTCGTATAATATATCCACGCTATAATATATATATATATAATGTGTGGAAATTTTGGATTCGCGATTATCACGAAAAATATAAACGTGACGTATCGACGGTGACAATTTTAGACGGTGGTTAGTTTTAGTTAACCTTTCCCACAAATTTCGTTCGAACGTTTATTTTGTTATATTTTCGTAAAGCAAGGATTAACTGCACAGATGCGGCCGATGACGGTGAGCGGTGGTCAAATTCGGTGTATGAATTCGACTCGAAATAAACTTCCGTATCCTCGACGAGTGACGGCCAGATATGCAAAAAGCGAAAACGACAGTGACAAATTGGACGCGGCTCGTCGAATGGCGAAACGGAATAAAAGATAGCCTGAC